GTCAGCGCAAGAGAGCGTTACTGGGAGGGAGGCAGAAGAGGCACATTCAACCCCCTGCAGCTGAGAGCAGAGGTGGGGGGGACATGGTGACCTTTTCTGCTGTTATAGACTCCATCAAAGTCTGTCACTCTGCATGCATGAAATGTGCAACTACTATTTCAGGTATTACAGGATGCAAAGTAGGGCTGGGCGACATGGTTTAAAAATAATACATATATTTTTTTCCAAACCCAGATACAATTTTCTGCTTTAATAAACTTCATTTTGCTTTCTTTTCATTAAAAAAAAAAATTTCAAAACGTATTGGGTCGGGATATGAGAGTTTTTGTTTACTCACAAGCATATAGGCCTAACATTAGCAGAATAAAAACAAAAGTTTTCAAGAGCAATGTCTTAAAACAAAAACAAGAAAAAAAGTTGCTCTGGTGAGAAAAATTTTTTTTTTGATTTTTTGTTGTTGTTCTAATAAAATTACTACTTCGCTCCCCTATTATTACAACTTTATTCTTGTATTTAATACGACTGTATTCTTGTAACATTATGACTTTATTTTTAACCCCAAAAAAATAAAATAAAATTTAGCTTGAACCTTAAATTTTGTTGTAGAGTTCACTTGAATTCAAAGTTCGAATAAACAGAAATTGTAAAACATGCTTTTCAAACAAGATGGCGGGCCTTTGGGACTATTGACATCACTCTGAACTATGGAAAAAAAAATCAATGACTATATTGGTGAAAAAATGGAAAGCTCTAATGAAAAGAAATGAAGGGAAGAGATATTCTTACAGCGATCTCGATCTCCTCTGAGCTGAGTTTAGTCTGGATGGCAGCGAATCCTCCCAACTCTCCAAACTTCACCACAAAACAGGGGAAGATAAAAAAGCAAAGATATGAAGCAAAAGTACTGCAAACATCAATCATTTATAAACATGAACAATTTATCACTCACTCGATTCACTAAATCAACCAGCCAACCGTGGGGCTCCTGAAAGGGAAAACAAATCATGCTTTCATTCAACAATCACAGCGCAAACTCTAACAGACGGACACGCTGCTGACAGCTGTTGTGTGTCAGTCGCGCGTGTTTTCATGAGCTTATTGGCTCGGCTACACATCGCTGAGGATGAAAAACTTGTTTGCCTCCCCGTGAACCATAAATTGAGACTAACAAGGAAATATTCGGCCAGCTTCGCACACATGTCAATGCTTCTGGGTGAACCTTGAAGACAGGAAAGAAGAGCGTCTCTTACTTTCTGGTAGGTGTTGCTGGGAGAGACTGCAAATATGTTGGCCTCGTCTCCGAAAACTTCGGCCCAGTTCCTCTGACATGACTTCATTCGGTTCTTAAAGTGGTACTCGTTGTCGGGGTTAAGCGCCTGCACAATATATAGAAAAAAAAATAGGTGGTTATTTTTCAGTCATACTTTAATCATGTAATTCAAACATCTATAAATTATTGAATTCACAAGCTAAGTATTTTGTTTTCAGAATAAATATTTAATGTAGTTTACAGACAAAATATTTTGTTCCAAAGAAAATATTTATTTTACGAACTAAAAATGTGATTTTCAAACTAAGTATTTAGCGTGCTGAGGAGTTGTTTAGCTAGCTGAAGTGAATGTTTAGGTCTGAGCTAAATATCAAGTTTTGGGAAATTTATTTGATTTTGTAAAATATTTAGCTCAGCCTGAAACATTTCGATGGAAACTAAATATTTAGTTTGCAAACACAAAAATTTGTTTTACTACCTAATTATTTAATTCACAAACTAAACACTTAATTTTCCAACTAAATATTTATTGCCCAAGTTAAATATTTAGCTTGGACCTAAATATTTAGCAAGCTAAACTAAGTTTTCAGTTTGGAAATTAAATGTTTAGTTTGAAAAATAGATTTTTAAGTCAGACTTAAAAATTTTGTTTTTAATTTCCAAGCAAAATATTTAATTTGAAAGCTAGATATTTACTTTGGAGCTCTGACATTTATGAATGCATATATAACATGGTGAAAATATTACTGAAAAATCACAGACTAAATAAACGAAAATATTGCCATTCATATTTTATTGTGCAACTTTACAAACATTACCTAAAAGTTATCAGATTAAAGGAGGCTCAATATAAAGAAAAACATTGTTTCAGATATTTGAAAAATATTTTCAGAACTATTTTTTTCCTTTTTTTTCCCCCAACCACTTTTATACCAAAGAATTTTTTATACCTTTGGTATAAAAATTCCAATATGACACATTGAAGTTTGTAGTTAGAACATGATAGGTTCAGGGGGCGTGGGACAGAGATGTTCCCTGGATGTAAAATCATCTATTGGACACAGAGAGAAAGCCCACCATGGTCAGGACCCCCATCAGGTTGACGGGAACGGGGTCCTGTTTCACCCTCTCGGCCACCAGCTCCACCAGCAACATCAGCATGTTGTAGATCCCCTCGTGGATCTCCGTGCCCCATTTGTGTACGGCGCTGCTGGTTAACAGCTGGCGAGACGTGAAAACGGGAAGACAGAGTAAGTCGACGAGCGGCCAGCCCATCCCGTCCGGCAGTCGCTCCGTTCCTTTCACAGCTCACCTTTTTGAAGGCCTCCGGCATGCACCGATCCACAAAGCGCTTGCAGTTCTCATCGGCGTCCGCCAGACCTGACGAGAGAGGGAGGTTCAGCGCTCTGAATCTAAACTTGAAAGAGGAAGATTTTTTTGGTCGGAGACACAACCAGCCGTGTGACTAAGTGTCCGCAGGAATGCCATGTGGCAGAAACCACCCAGCGGTCCAACGACACCATCCCACCAGTCTGAAGGTTTGTGTTAGGAATGTGAAATAAGAAGACCCGCACTCTCTTACCGTGCCGTGCAAGGCAGGTGGAGGCGATGAGGCACTTGCCCAGGGACTCCTCTCTCTTGTAGGGTATGGACCAGTGATCGGTGAAGACCCGGCTCTCCAACTCGTACAGGTTGGTGGTGGGGAACTCCATGCTGCCTCCCGAGCAGTTCCCGTTCTCGTCGTTGCTTCGCTGCAGACAGACGGGCGTGGCAAATTTATGACCAACACGCAGAAGGTGACTTTATTCCCCCACCCCCACCATCATCCCTTCCGCCTCCCAGAGCTCGTCCTTTCTGTTTTATGACTATCCCAACCGCCCTCTGCGTGATGCGAGGGTAATACAAATCGCCTCTGTAGCATCTGCCCTTCATCTGTACTCCATCTTCATGCATTTAATTAGGGAGCTTGAGATATTAATTTGCCACAACTGAGCAAATGAAGGAGAAATCCACAGAAAGAGAAAAGAAAGTTTAGCCTGATCTGAAAAAAAAAACCCTAACAAACAGACTGAATCATTTGCCTCAAAAAGTCTGCCAATATTTCCATAAGGTCAGACATAACTGGGCAGCCCAGGAACAGGAAACATAGTGTTGTATCCGAGAGCAACTGTCCCCTTACTGAAGGCTTGAACTGTAACTGATGTGATCTGCAGACCCTTCTGCCCCCCTATAGGCTAGAGTTTAATATTTAAACTCTACCAAGTTTAAATATTATCGCAGAACAGTCCAGTTGGGTCAAGTCTGCCTAATCTGAACACATATCCAGACACCGGGTTACGTATTATTCAGTGTACTCTTTAGGCATAACGTTTATGTTACAGTTCCTGAGGCTGGTCTTTTAGCTCTGGATCCGAAGAAAGGATCTCCAGTCGTCATCAGTCTTGCAATGAATCTGAAGAGGCCTCTGACTGAAGACTTGTGTGACAAGGCACACGACTGTCACGACTGTCACGTCATGCTAACAGATCAGAATCACCATCAGTTGTTAGCAAGAACCGCTAATCCACCTCATTTGCTTTTGCCGTATTTCTTTAAAATCTCTGTCTAAGTTTATGGTTAGGTTCTTACCAAAAATGTAAGAATCTGACATTCTTACAATAAAGCAACCAATGACAAATAATCCTGATAATTCATCGGCTAAAATCAACCTGCTTTATACTGTTGCTATTTTATAAAAAGCAGAACAGCAAAAACTAATAATATTCCGCTTAGTATGCTTTTGAAAACTTTAAGGGGGCCATTCTATGTGTTTGTTCATGTCTATGAAACAGCGTCACAAACCAATTGTTGCTTTCTTGTGATCATATTATATTCATTTTCCAATTTCTCTAATAACTCCGAATCCATAATACATTTGCTCACGGAAATCTCTTGTCTGCCCCATGCCTGGCAGTCAGTGTGATCTGGCGTGCATCAAACACCGTCAAACACGTGAGCGTAAGGTGATAGGCCGCACTTTTAAGTCTAATGGGAGGAGGCGAAGTGCAGGGAGCAGGAGAACACAACCGGAGATGCATTACATTTCGTTCTTTCCCCTTTCTAGGAAAATTAGATATATGACAAGCAGATGAACGAGAGGTGGGAAACAGCAGGAAGACATGGATAATAGAGACTTTCGGTTGAAAACCCATCAGAAATATGGCAAAGAAAATCTGAAACTTCTGAGCAGGAACACCAAATGACGTCCCAATCAGAAACAAAATGACCAATACATTTATTGTTTTATCACCTGAAGACATAAGCAGTGTGGAAGGCAAAATGTGTGCATTGCTGTGTGTGTGTGTGTGGTTGTGCTGGGGCGAGCGGGTAACTCTGCCCCACTGTTACCGTGCGCCCACAGCCCTCTTGGGAACTCTGCGCAAAAACTGCAGAGTGTGAGTGTGTGTGTGTGTGTGTGTGTGTCGGAGGGGCAGAGGGAGAAACTATATTTAGGAGCAACACACGAGGCCACAGACCAACCACCGATCTGTTACACATAAACACTGCGAGAAGGGGGAATTAATCACGTTCGTCCCTTTGTGCTACGGCACGCACAGAACGTTTCACATCTTCAAAACTCACACGGAAGTGACTTTTGACGAGTTCTCGTCAGGAAGTTCTGCTCCAGAGGTGTTTTGAAAAATTGATGTGTTCTTGGTTGTTGATGTGCCCGGTGGTTAATGATTCACCCTGCCGTGCTTTAAATCGCTACACGATAAACGGAAACGGTTCCTACAAGGTCAAAGGTCAGGCAGAAGAGGAAACACAGGTATGTGTTGCTTTAGGGGTCAGTCAAAGCAATCCTACTGTATTATGCTTGACAGGCGCTTTATGGGAGGCCGGAGGATGTAATAGCTTTCGCAGCACATAAACACAGCGGGCTGGACGAAGATAGGACCCGTAAGCGAGTATTATACTGGCAACCAGTTGCTGCTTCGATAAATGTGGTCCCTCCACAACACAAGAACATATGGATCTACACACAACTATCACTAAAATGGCACCTTTGCTGTGGAGATATTGCGAAACCGCTTCAAAGTCAAGTTAGAGGGAAATAAAATGTTCCCAGTGGTCGAGCTGTCAGACAGCCTCCTGCTTAGAGGCAGATGATACGATGCGAATCATTTCAACATGACAATCAAAAAGCCATCCAAAACTAGAGCTTCCTTTGAACGTCTGTGAAAGTGATGCTTTCGCTGCTGCTCCACATTACTGGCGGGTTTCACCCTCCAACTTAGCTACAAAAAAGCTACTAGCTACCAGCTAGCTAGGCTAGCATGCACATTTGAATTTCCCATTAAGCTTTAGCAGTAAAGTTCCTACACATACTGCCCAAGAGCTCTTTTTATGTCGGTCTGAGGTGCTAGCATGTGCTGTCTGTGTGGGACTAGTGGGTCATTTTCTCCATGACAGCTCACGTTAGGGGTTGCTGCATGTAGCCGTGAAGCCGCTAAGTTGAGCTAGTTAAATGGGCGAGCCTACTTTCTGTTTCAACTTACAACCGACCGTATTTCCTCACTAACTCCCGGAGCCGAGGCGTGTTGCGTTTACCTCGCCGTCTACGACGTCGTGGTATGCTGGAGGGGGATCGAACCCACTCGTCCCAGTCCTCCCGCTGTTTTCCCCGTCCCCGCTGGAGCCCAAGCCGGTGGAAGGCCCACTCTCCATCGGCTCGTATCCATAGCCGAGTCCGGGGCTCTCATTCGTTAGAAGCGCCACTGCCTCGTTGATGTCATTCTTTGCCAGACGGAGCGCTTTTCGTATCACGTCAGGATCTGGGAAACCCATGCAGAGGAGCGTCGTTATGTGCTGCTCCTCTTCGGTCTCCATTTTTGGGGTGTCTCCGCTTCCCACACTAGTTGTACAGCGGTGCTCGGCACAGCCCTGTAGCTGTGCACGCCGCCATGTTTACAGTCCTCCGCCGCCGCAGCTAGCCTGCCTGTCACGATTTGCTTCTCCCAGAACAGCGCCGACACAGGTGGTACGGTGAATTCTGCATTCCGAGAACTGCAGGCCGCCCACGGGAGCGCGCACACTGACAGTACTACATGATTCAGTGATTTTTACCTTGTTATCGGTGTTTAACGTGTGTACGGAGGAGTTATGTTTAGAAGTCCATGACACATGAACTTTACTCTTGTCAAAAGATGAACATAAAGCGGCCGACCAGAACATGACAATAAGCTGCCCTATAATTTATAATATAATAATAATAATAATAATAATAATAATAATAATAATAATAATAATAATAATAATTGTTATTAATAATAATGATAAATAATTAATTGTGTTATTGCTATAATATTATTATTAATAATAATAATAATAATATAATCATTATTATTATTATTATTATTATTATTATTAGTAGTAAATAATATAATAATATATAATAATATAATATAATAATAATAATAATAATATTATTATTATTATTATTATTATTATTATTATTATTATTATAATATTATAATATTATATATATTATTATTATTATTATTGGTTGAGCACAAATAATTTCCGGTTTGCCATTATTCGCTAAAAAGTAAATAATGTCAAGTTTTTTTATATTAAAGCTAATTTTTAAGCTTTTTTGTTTTAAGATCTTTTGAGGAAGTGCAGCATAGTTTTTTAGGATATTTAAAATACATTTGAAGGGTTTTTTTAACCATACATTTTTCCACAAATAAAGAAGAAAATAACGTTTAATGCAAATAATTTGTCCCTCTCATTTTTGTAAAAAAAAAAAAAAATCTTTATTAAAACTTTAATAAACTCTATGCTTTCAAAAATCCCTTCTCGTGAGACACCACAACAGCGACGTTACGTATTACAAAGAAGGGCGTGGCATTGCGCGTGAGCAGTGGCGCTCTGGGGGCGTTGGTCGTCATGCCGCGCCGCGAGAGCGTCACGTGATCGCCGGGCTCACGTGATAATGGATGAAATGAAACAGGAACAAAATGGCTGCAACTGGAGACGAAGCCGCAGCTATGGACAGTATTTCCAGGGAACCAGCAGCCGTCTCAGCGGGGTTAATGGCAGCTGCTGGCGGCACGGCTGCGGCTGAACGCCCCGACGATCCACCGGAAGCCCCGGTGCCAAAGAAACCTGGAGCAAACAGTACGTGGTGCTTTCACTGCCTTAGTACCCAAATGGCAATAGAGCACACAGTAAACAAATGTTTTTGTTGCTGCTTTTATCTGACTGTTGACTGATGATTTATTGCATTGCAGTTACATCCAAATTCTCATCTGGATTAATTTAGTTCTGCTTCAAATTGTTGTGCCCAGGCGATGGAGGTGTGGAGACCGCGGAGGAGGCAGTGGAGCCCGCAGAGCCAGATGTCAACGAGCTGTGCTCTGACATGTTTGAGAAGATGGCCATTTTCCTGCAGGGGGAGCTAACAGGTGTTAAACATAATCTCGTTGCTATTGTTGTGCTCTTTCTCTCAAGCTGTCATTGGGAACTGTAATCTAAATTTAAGCGTGACTAAAATGTATTTACCTCACTTACCTTAATTAACTTATCTAAGTTAATTTGGATACTACCTAACACTTTTCTAAAAATATTCCCAAACATCACTCAGGCTTGTTTTAGTGTTGCTTATTGTCAAAGCAGTTTTTCTTGACTTATCTCTGGCCATTAACCAGATTTCGAATGAATCTGGTTAATCTCGTACAAGTTACTAGAGCTGCTCTGATTCTATGTGATCTGGCAAAATGGAAAAGTGATCTGGCAATAAAATCACTAAATTTGAACGTAAAACTTGCAAAATACAGCAACTCTCAATCAAATGGATAACAGAAAAACCTGCAATCTGTAAAACAATATTTAAGAGTAAGATTTTCAATACCCTGAATTATACATGAGTCAAATAAATCTCACGACAATCGCCTATATCAAATAATGTTAGATGCCGTCTGCATCAAAATAAATTCGGCCGTTCCAAATGACCTTTGCTTTCTGCATTGTAGGATTGTTCATTAATAGTGTACGCTGATAAGAAGCATGTCTCTAAATTGATGTATTCTTATCTAAAAGAATACATCAGTTTAGATGTATTCTTTTTTCTTTACTGTTTCTTTTTTCTCATGAACAAATGTGATTTTCTTCTCAGCAACGTGTGAAGATTACCTGCTGTTGGAGAACATGAACAAGCTCACAAGCCTGAAGTACATGGAGATGAAGGACATCAGTATCAATATAAGCCGGAATCTGCAGGATCTCAACAACAAATGTAAGCATTTAGTATAATTTAAAGAAAAAAAAAATCAACATTCGTGAATTATTTTTTTTGTTCTTGTTTTTTGCTTTTCTGATTCTTTTCTGAATTGAAGAGCTTTTGGTTTTGTGTGTGTGTGCTTGTGTGTGCTTGTTTCAGATGCGAGCCTACAGCCTTACCTGGACCAAATAAATAAGATCGAGGAGCAAGTCTCATCCCTCGAACAGGCTGCATACAAACTGGATGCATACTCCAAGAAGCTGGGTAAGACATGCGCTACACAGTAGAGAGGATTTAGATACCTGGCAAAGTGGAGCTACTGGATTTCTTTTTATTTAAAATATACATCAGTTAACAATATCATCCCAATTTGGATCTACATGTTAAGACTGGAGTTATTGCAGTAAATCCTATCACTCAGTCCTCAGAATGCAAGACAACTGGAGGGACATAAACATGAGACTACCACATGAGAGATTACTGCAAAGGCTGTGGGAAGCTCTGAAATCTGTTATCTTGGTTCTAGAGGCTGGAGACGCTTTTTATCTGTGGAAGGAACAACCCTTTTTATGTTTCTATTTGTAGAAGCCAGATTCAAGAAACTGGAGAAGCGGTGAGGGACAGAAGACGAGGCAGACTGAGGGTTTCAGTGCCTTCTCGCCTTCTTCACCCATCCCTGCCCTCCACTCTACTTACCAGTAGACGCAAAAGCTACAGGGGAGGAAATGAACTGTGGCTGAAGCAAAACTAAGAAGCACTTCAGCGACAGCAGTGCTGGCTGTAGATTTGACTCCAGTATCACTGGTTTTTGTTCCTGCAATCAAGATGTGCCACATGTTTGTCCAACTGTTAGCCTCTCTTAAATAATATCAGGAAGATGTTCTTGTCAAAAAGAGAAGTAAACGACACATGAAGTTAATTTGCTCCTTAAAGCATATTTAAAGCTTGATCATGTCAGAAACGCTTTTTTTTTTTTTTTCCAGGCATTTCTTTTGTAAAATGTTGGGGAATAATCTGAGTTTACTCTGCATTAATTACTTTGTCAGGCAGTGTTCATGAGACGCTAAAATGTATAGTTTAAAGACAAACTCTACAGCTTGTTTTAAATTTGTAGCTCTCATACAATTCCTTATAAAGTCAACATCATGTCTTGTTCTCCTGAAGATCACTGAAATGTAATTTTCTTTTAAATAAAGCCTGATCACTGACAGCAGATGGCAGTCTTGCACCACGATTGGTTCCTTAAGGATTTAAAAAAACTTTTTTTTTTATTACATATCAGTTGTTTTCCTGCTTGGGAGGTGGGGGGAACTGGACCGCTGTTGAACAAGAAAGGATTGAGTTACTACTTTCTCACGGAAAGGACAAGAGTGGAGCTTCAACAGAGGGAAACGGATGGCATCTAGTTGCACAATCAAAGCAAAGGATGGATGCCATCTGCTGCCTTTGTTTCCATCTTCACGTTAACTGCACAGCAGATGATCAAAATTTGTTGGATCTTATGCCAATCTCCGCGCTCAAGGATGCGTAGTTGTGTGTGAGGCTTAATCTAAAACAGGTCTCTGTCATTAGTTCAGCTGAGACGCTGGCACAGAGGGAGCTCGTTATTCATCCTATAACGTTATTTACTGTTGCTCTGTGATCCTTCCATCTCTCCCTTTCCTTGCTTTATTATTTTTTTTCCTTCCCCACATCCCTGGAGAATACACCTCGGTCCTCTCCTAAAGGCCCTCAACTCGGCGTCGTGAGCTTTGGGAGGTTTTCTGGAGTCTATATGTGCGTGCCAGGTGGCAGTCAAGCAAAGTAGAGAAGGTAACATTAATCATAGCCAAGCGTCTCATGTTGTTAAGTTTGGGTGGGTATCGCATGTTCTGTGCTAAATAATTGGCTTAAAGATTGGGAAGGTGGAAGGAATTTCTGTAGTTTTTATAGCTTGTAGGCTCCAGCTATGGTGGAAAAGCTCTGTTCAGATAGCAGATTATTCTGCTTTGGAAAAGTATTCACCTCTCCTTTATGCCTTACACTTGAAAATCTGCATATATTTTGTTATGTTATCAACATAAGCAAACATTTTTTAGTTGGTTTTTGCAAGTACAAATCTGAAATGTTTAGCTTGGCATTTCAATTACTTTGCAGAGTTGATATTTTATTTTTCCAATGACAGCAGGAGGAATTTTGAGACTATATTTTTCTTCTTTTGGTAACGTACGTCAGGCTCAGGCTGGATAGAAAACATCTCAGAAAATCAGTTTTACATCTCATAGATTTATAGTTGGATTTAGGGCTGGACTGAATTAGGTCATTATAAAACATGCTATCTAAACAAGTTGTGTGGTGTCGTCCTGCTTGAAGCTGAATATTTTGCAATCTCTTGCAAGTGTTCTTCCAAGATTGCAAAAAATGATGTTGTCTTTTCCCTTCTATTACACAATCACGCAGCACTTTTTTGTTGGTCAATGATGTGAAAGTCCAATAAAGCAGATTGAATTTTGTGAGTTTGCAGTTAAACAGTTTGAATTTATGAATTCCTATTCAAGATGATGTAATTTTGTAATTCACGGCTCTTTCCTTTTCCATCATGTTTTGTTTCAGAATGGTTCCCTGCTCTAAAACCAAATTCATTTTGACTGGGTGATTTTATTTGACAGAGTTATACATCTCACTGTAAAATACCTTGGCAATCCCTCGCTGTCGTTCGTCCCTTGTGACACGTGGTGCTTCTGGCACCGCAGCCTGACAGAACCTCGACGTGCATCTCTCTTTCAGCCTCACAGGCGTCATTTTGCCAAAGACAAAAGAAACTGGGGAATAGGATTTTCAAGAGCGCCACCACAGAGCTTTAATCCATACAGACTGCGGCTTCTCTTGGAAAGTTTTTGCAAATGTTTTCCTTTTATTTTTACACTTTCCGCCTTTTTTGTTGCTTCCCCAAAGATGATCTCTTGATCCAGAGCATAGGACAGATGATGTTATGAATTCTTCTCTCCTCTTATCTCCATATGGTAGTCACTCCATTTTCTGTTTAACCCTTTGGTTCTTTTTAAATGCGGGTCCAATGCAAATGTGTCAAGGGCTTAAAGATTTGTAAAATGCTGTTTGCATCGACTATTATATTTTATATCTCTTGAAGGAAAGATATTAACTTCTCTGAAAATTTGGAAAGAAGATGTATCTGATTTGGACACTTTCGAACAGCTTGACCTCAATTTGCTTTGAGGTGACAGATGGCAGAATTTCCCAGCAATCTGACGAGGCAAAGTATCAAACATGTCCGTCATCAGCAGAAGCATTGGAGCTGATCTCTTCAACACTCTCAAGTGGAGCTTGAGCCAGTTAACTATAACAAGGCCAGATCCCACACCGCAGACTTGTGTAACTGACAGGCAAGCACACATGTTTTCTTTTTTTTTTCTCATGAATGAGTGAGAAAGGAAACTCAAATGATTTTCAAACCGCATTTGTTCTTTGTTTCTCCGTCTTGTGCAGACTGAGCAATTATAGCTGGCCATTGTCAACAACTTTAGCGGCGTTGTGAAATCCCTTTGTATCTTTTTTTTTTTGTCTTCCTCTTACTTTCACACACAGGTTGGGCGAACCATCCTCATTTGCCTCGCTTCGAGCCATTTAGATGTCCCTGTAAAGCCGTGCCGCTATAAAGCCATTCGAACAGCTTGGAATAAGCGACCAGGGGGTGTTCATGTTTACATCCATTCATTTCAAAGAGGCCCACAGATCTGGTTGGTGTTTGGGTAGCAAATACAAGCCACATGTGAGATCTGAAGAAGTGAGTCAAACTTCAAACACCTTCAACAAGAAGAGCCTGCAAAACCACATGAGGTCAATTTTTGGCATGGCAACTGTTCAGCTCACGCCTTCATCATCCGCTATGTGGATGCAGGAGCGCTCCGAGAAACCTGTCACATCCATCCTCTCAGAAACCCGAAACCGAAATTCAGGTTCTTGTCAGGTATGTTCTTTGAAGAGTTCAACCAAAGCTGGAATTCAATCCATTTTGAGCAAACCCAAATGTCCAGACCTTCAGTCCAATGCACGAAACTAAAACGGGACCAGATGGGACGACGGTGCAGAACCTTAGGTTGCTGGGTTGTTAGGATCCTGGAAATTCTCAGTAGAACCGCTCTGGGGGTCATACGCTAGTTCTCCAGATCCAGTCTAATTTTTTTTTTCTCTCAGTTAAGTCAAAACCAACAACACTGTGATTAAGATTCAATGTTAGGTCAGTACTGGCTCTTCTTTTTCAATGTTGCCATAGCATGAGTTCATATTCTACTTCCATGACACGAGTAATCCCTTTGGGTCCCATGTTTTCAGAACTTTATCTAAATTGACCCGACGCTCTTCCTAACAGCTCCTTTAGGAGTCCACTCAGACTCCAGAGTTCATCAGCGTTCATCTGTCTGTATCTGTTCAGGCTAGGAAACGCAGTGACCCAGGCCACAACATACAAGAGATTTGTCTTTACTCGAGGTGAAAAGAATAAACGTCTCTCTAGCTGTACATTTTATACTTGATGAGAAACGGACTTGCAGCAGAACTCCAGAGAAAACGTCTCAGGTCTCTTCCACAGCAGAGTGTGTCTGCAGAGTAACCACTTCATATTTCTGACCAATCAAACAGTTTCATACTTCAAGCAAGGAGACATCTCTACCCAGAACAGAACAAACTTCCAGACCTCCCAAACCAAGGCTGTAAGAACATGATGTTTTATCACTCCATGATATTTTGGCACGCTATTGTTTGGCATTTGCAATACCAAAAATAAACGGCACCAATTGGATGTTCTCCAAAGACCTGCGAAAAGGAAAACCGTGAATGTTTGCTTCTGTGGTTCTTTCTTACTGCACATGCTAATACATTCTAAGTCATATTTGTTGTTTGAGCCGTTAAACAGGTAGTTACAAATGTTTTTAAATGTGGATTCAAGTATGTGCTAAATTCACAGATTCGTGGTCCGTTGAAGACTCAAATCTCTGAGAATACCATGGTTTGTTGCATTCTTGTGCAGATCTAGACAAGTACAACGAGTGATTGTCACAAGGTAAGACAAATTATTGGGTAGCATAGATAGTCAGAACATCAGAACTTTTTTTTTCTAACCAGGACCCTCTACATATTTCTGCAAATCCTACAATTAGGATTGACTTTGTTAATTCCAGTTGTACCCAGTTTTAAAATATTTGTTGAGCCTGATTAACCTGCACACTAAACTGAAAGATGAATAATGTAAACTTGCAGCATGTTTCTGAAATTTTACATTAATATTGTTTGATTCACTTGAGACAAGTTCTGCAGGTCTCAGATCAAACATGATTTTTATCATTCATAGGAGTTCATTTATGGTGACCTGTGTGGCGAAGAAACAAATAAGTTTCAAGAGTTAAAGAAAAAAAGGTGTATTTATTGTGCAGCCATGAAGAAAAACAATCTGTAAATTTCAGGTCTTTTTTTTCTTATGTGGATTTTCAAAATGATCTGCACTAAAAGTTTCTGAATGTTTGTTTACTTAAAAACATTTTAACTATTGACAAGCTTTTATGAATCAAAATCCTTGTGACATGAGTCAGAGCATTATATAACGTGGCTTTCAGTGTAAATGTTAAGGTATCTAGATACCATCTCTCCCTTACTCCAGAGCCTGAATAATCTATTATCTCCGGGTCTACCATCATATCCAGGAACTGTCCACATATTGAATTAGAAAAAAAAATGGTGTTGCAGACAAATGACATTAGCGCTGCTTGCTTGTGTGGATGTGTGTCTGTGAGGTAGCCACACTTTCATCCAAGGAGTCATCGCGTGTAACCGAATCTCCAGATTTACTATACAGATTTGAACCCTGTTTATCCTGATTGCCTCAAATTATCCAGCTGATGACGTCGTCTTAGGAACCGATGTTCAATTATCCAGCTTGCATGTTGCCTTTCCCTCCTGGTTTAAGCGCTATGCTGAAAAATTGGTTCCTACTCTTCCAGTAAACATAAGGTTTTCCTAAATTATTCAAACTGTCACGAAGAGAAGGGAGAACGAGAGGGGGAAGCAGGATTGATGGCTTTACCCCCTCTGGTTCCTAGATTTGTACACTCTGTAATAGATCTACAACAGATGTGTGAGACTGGATGTTGGTGTTGTGTAATGTATGTGGAGTCACATGAGAGGAGAAAGAACAGATTGACCCTTTACCTCTTTGACTCA